CAGGATTCTCCTTTATATTGATGGGTAACCTCCAGCTTTGACTATAGACCTGTCTTCAGTTTCATGGAAGATGACCTGTGCAGAGGTGTAGGTTGATGGCCTGAGCAGAGACTGACATCTTCAATGTTCCATATTTGTGGGGTGAGCTCCTTTATAACAACTAAACACGTTTCCTCAACACCCCAAGGAGAGTAGATATTTGGAAAAAAAAATGTTGAAATTCACATTATTTCACCAGTCTTCTCCTTGAAGTGTTGGTTGTCTTTTGGGAAGGTCAGAAGTATTAGTGGGAATGGCAAGACGTGATTGAGAGCAGATGCAGAGGGGAAGATGAGTGCTATGATCTGCTATGACATACAGGAGCAGAGCTGCTTTCTCTCTCCTTTCCTGCCCTCTCCCAGACTGTTCCAACTGTTTTCTCTGGCTGCCTTACCATGTCTGAGAGACAGCTAAAGCCTCTTCCAACTGATGCTGCCTGATCAGGAAGAGGATAACAGAACTAATTACTGTCTCCATTCTGTTCTGACTAACAGGGAAAGCTGACCTATAAAAATGACAAATAGGTAGTTCATAGCTTAATAACAACTTATTGGGGTCTATGAGTACCAAACTCCATACAAAAGAACCACCAGGAGTAAAGGGTAAACACTGGGCGTGGAATACAAGACCAATATGTCACATTAGGAGATATTTAATTCATCCAGGAAAGTTTAATACTCCATTTACTGATGTCCTGGTTTCAGTTAGGACATAATTTTCTTCCTAGTAGCTGGTAGGGTGCTATGTTGTAGGTTAGGATGAGAAGAGTGCTGATAACATGCTGATGTTTTAATTGTTGCAGAGCACCAAGCCAAGGGCTTTTCAGCTCCTCGCTCTGTCATGCCAGCGGACAGGCTGGGGGTGCAGCAGGAGCTGGGAGGGGACAGAGCCAGGACAGCTGACCCAACCTGGCCAAAGGGGTATTCCACACCATAGGGCATCATGCTGAACAAGATATAGGGTTGGCTAGCCGGGGGGGGGGGGGGGGGTCGGCTGCTCGGCGACAGACTGGGCATTGGTCAGCAGGTGGTGAGCAATTGCATTGTGCATCACTTGTTTCGTACACGTTATTAGTAGTAGTACTATTAGCATCATTATTGTTATTATTATTTTTCTGTCTTAATAAACTGTCTTTATCTCAGCTCACAGGCTTCACTTTCCCGTTTCTCTCCCCCATCCCAGAGAGGAGGGGGGACGGTGAGTGAACGGCTGTGTGGTGTTTAGCTGCCAACTGGGTTAAACCACAACAACTGATTAAACTTAATTAAGGAAGATACTAATAATATGAAATAACACTGATAATTTCTCAAACTTTATGAAAGTCTCAAAAAGAAAGACTCCAGAAAATCTAGGGGATGTGAGAAAAAAATATTCAATCTTGTGCTACATGGTTTAAAAAAATGGATACAATTTCATTGCTTTTCATAGCACTCTTACACTAGAACAGGAAAATGTGAGAAACACTGACAAGCCTAGTGTTGGCCAATATATGGTTAAGTTCAGGAAAAATAAATGTAAAAGGATAAAAAAATAGGAAATACAAATACAGTACCTGAAAGGAAAAGAGTTATGAAATTAACATGAAAAACAAACATGAACTGTTTATGTTCAAGATTATAGTAGTAGAGACCTTTTTAGGGAACAATACAGTAAATATATAGATATATACCCAAGCGTGGGATATATGGAGACCTTAATACTGTAACTAACCAGGCATGACAGAGAATAGTCTTTGAAAGAATTAAACGGTATGTTCTCAACGTCTGGAATACAAGTTAATCGATGATTTTTCAAGAACACAGGAGAATACCCCGAAATGTATATTCCCGGTAAGTATAACTAGGAAGAAAGAGGGCCAAAGTCACACAGCGTGTGCGCACCCGGGGCTCGGCGGCTCTGCACCGCCTGCCCTCTGGAGAAGGGGCCGGGGCCGACGCGTGCTGACGGGAGACCCCCGAGGGAGTCTCCTTAAGACAGGCTGAGGTTTTAACCCGAGAGCGCGGGCGCGGCTGCCCCCGGCCCGGGCCCTTTGTGTGAGCGCCGCGAAATGGCGGCGGGGCGCGGGCGGGGAGCGGCGCCGCCATTGGCTGGGATTTGGTGCAGGGCCGCGGCCGCGGGGCCCGGGTCCCCCAGCGGCTGCGGGGAAGGCGAGGCGGGCGCCGGGAGGCCGGGCCGGGCCGAGAGGCGGACGGGGCCCCGCCGTGCCCGGGCCGGGCCGGGCCGAGCTGAGCCGAGGCAGCAGCGGCGGGGCCGTCGCCTCCCGGGGCCGCCCCGCGGCGCCCGCCCCCTGTCGGAGGCGCCCCGGGGCGGAGGCGCGGAGGAGAGCCCGCCCCTGCCCTGCCCCGCCGCAGTCCTCAACCAGGTCGGACCGCCGGCAATATAGGGGAGCGCGGGCGGCCGTTCCCGCCACTCGCTGTTGGGGCAGAGCGCGGCGGCACCATGTCCGGCAGAGGCAAGGGCGGGAAGGGGCTCGGCAAGGGGGGCGCCAAGCGGCACCGCAAGGTGCTGCGCGACAACATCCAGGGCATCACCAAGCCGGCCATCCGGCGCCTGGCGCGGCGCGGCGGCGTCAAGCGCATCTCGGGGCTCATCTACGAGGAGACGCGCGGCGTGCTCAAGGTCTTCCTGGAGAACGTGATCCGCGACGCCGTCACCTACACCGAGCACGCCAAGCGCAAGACGGTCACGGCCATGGACGTGGTCTACGCCCTCAAGCGCCAGGGACGCACCCTCTACGGCTTCGGCGGCTAAACTCGTCGTAGGTTAGGACTCGCTTTTACCAAACACAAAGGCTCTTTTCAGAGCCACCTAAGCTTTCAAGAGAAGGGCGTTAATCACTGCTCGCACACGTACTGCTCGTAGTGTCGTGATGTACTTCACTAGGGAGAAAAAGAGGGCGGCTGGGTTCTCCTGTCATGGTCCGGGATCATCTGCCCCTTGCCAATGCCCCGGTCTTTATCTCTCCTCCCTTCTAAGCAGCAGGAAAGCTTGCACTCGGGGACGCGGGGGGGGCTGCCCCTCTTGCACTCTCCTGCAAAGTGTGCGCGGAGAGCTGATGGAAGGCTTGACTCGCTCGTGCGGTTCGCTGGGCTCGAGGAAAGAATCCCTCGGCTCCAGCTCTGGCCTCTGCCATTCTCCCCCAACAGCCGCTTCCCCTCTCCCAAGGGTCCGACGTGGGGCGGGGAGGGAAGGGAAACCAGCGGTGCGGGGAACAAGCGCTATTGCGAGCCGCGTCTCTGCTACCGCCCTCAGAGCAGCAGCCTCAAGCGGGAGGCTCATGAAATGGCGGGGCTCTGTGTCCTCCCGTCCGGTCCCTACGCGGAGAGGTGCGTGGGGGGGGCTGGGGAATAGAAGCGGCCACCATCGCTCGTGGTGCCCCAGCGACAGGGGAGGAAGGAAGCGGCACGCCCTCAGCGAAACCCGCTTTGCTTATTGCCCTCCTCCCGCTCGCTGCCTGAAAGGCTTCCTGCCGGCTCCCCGGGCTCGTCTCCCCCTTCGCCCCCCTCTCCCTGCCCCCCCCCTCCGGGCAGTTTGAAATAAAAAATCAAGGAGACCCCCCCCCCCACACGAGGGGAGGGGGCGCCAACTAAACACAGCTTGCGAACCGCATCCCTCCCAGCTGCTTTGTCTCCCACCGTCGGAAAAGAGCCCTTGCACGAATCATCGCGCGCCTGCCGCCAAAACGGAGATTCAGCTCTCTCTGGTGGCCGTGTGGTGGCTCTTAAAAGAGCCTTTGGGTTTGGTGGTCGAGGAGCAGCAGCCTCAGGCGCGCTCCCCGCGGATGCGGCGGGCGAGCTGGATGTCCTTGGGCATGATGGTGACGCGCTTGGCGTGGATGGCGCACAGGTTGGTGTCCTCGAAGAGCCCCACCAGGTAGGCCTCGCTCGCCTCCTGCAGCGCCATCACGGCCGAGCTCTGGAAGCGCAGGTCGGTCTTGAAGTCCTGCGCGATCTCGCGCACCAGCCGCTGGAAGGGCAGCTTGCGGATCAGCAGCTCCGTCGACTTCTGGTAGCGGCGGATCTCGCGCAGCGCCACCGTGCCGGGCCGGTAGCGGTGCGGCTTCTTCACGCCGCCCGTGGCCGGCGCGCTCTTGCGGGCCGCCTTGGTGGCCAGCTGCTTGCGGGGCGCCTTCCCGCCCGTCGACTTACGCGCCGTCTGCTTTGTGCGCGCCATCGCTCAGCGTCCGCCTCAGAGCCTGATAAAGCCGCAGAAGACGAGCAGTGAGCTGCCGCGCTGCCAGACCCCCTTTTATACCTCTCGCTTCCTCTCCATTGGCTGATGGGAAGCATCGAGCTCATTGGGCCATTTTGAAAATCCCGCGTTAACCCCATTGTGTTCTGGCTAATGCTCTTTAATCGCTAAATCGTAGGCTTGATTTTTCGGCTTTCGTTCTTCTAGAAACATTTCCTTTTAATTATTTCTCTACATTAATGGTCACGTTCAGATTTCAATAATATTCTGATGTTCCCCATTTAGCCCTTGGAAGAAATCTGCTACCGAAGAGCAGTAAAAATATCCTCAGAGTAAAGCACATTATATTTTTTTTTTACTTATTTTAAGCTATTTTCCTCTATATTTACGTTTTATAAGCCCTTAAGCAGGTATATATGTACTATTTTCCATGTTTACAAGACAGGAAATCAATGCTTTTTCAATTCTACATTGCAAAACTGAAGTAATAAATACCTTACCTGCTTCTGTTTTGTTGTTACGGCTAAGAAATTTTTTCCTAACCGATCGTTTTATTTGAATTTCAACAATAAAGATTGTTACGGCAATGCACTTTTCTTGTACTACATCCATTCTTTTTTCTTTCCATGTACACAAGTATACACAACAACGACAATTCACACACAGGCACAAAAAGGAATATTAGAAAAAGGAAGATTAAAAAAAAGTCCTTCTTTCTGGGAAGTAAATAGACGTTAAAAATGTACAATTGGCTCCCTTTAGAAATGGATGGACCGAGCACATCTTCACCGCACCGTGAGGCATTGAGGAATGCTCCGAGTTAACCAATTACACGCATCGCTTTGTCGGCCAATCTCAGGCGAGGAGGAGGGGACACCTCCTATAAATAAGAGCCGGCAGCGCTTGCTCTTTCTTTTCCCAAGGAAAGGCTCAGAGACCGGAGATGGCGCGCACAAAGCAGACGGCGCGTAAGTCGACGGGCGGGAAGGCGCCCCGCAAGCAGCTGGCCACCAAGGCGGCCCGCAAGAGCGCGCCGGCCACGGGCGGCGTGAAGAAGCCGCACCGCTACCGGCCCGGCACGGTGGCGCTGCGCGAGATCCGCCGCTACCAGAAGTCGACGGAGCTGCTGATCCGCAAGCTGCCCTTCCAGCGGCTGGTGCGCGAGATCGCGCAGGACTTCAAGACCGACCTGCGCTTCCAGAGCTCGGCCGTGATGGCGCTGCAGGAGGCGAGCGAGGCCTACCTGGTGGGGCTCTTCGAGGACACCAACCTGTGCGCCATCCACGCCAAGCGCGTCACCATCATGCCCAAGGACATCCAGCTCGCCCGCCGCATCCGCGGGGAGCGCGCCTGAGGCTGCTGCCCCTCGACCACCAAACCCAAAGGCTCTTTTAAGAGCCACCACACGGCCACCAGAGAGAGCTGAATCTCCGTTTTGGCGGCAGGCGCGCGATGATTCGTGCAAGGGCTTTTTTCTGACGGTGGGAGACAAAGGAGCTGGGAGGGATGCGGCTCGCAAGCTGTGTTTAGTTGGCGCCTCCTCCCCTCGTGTGGTGGGGGGGTCTCCTTGATTTTTTATTTCAAACTGCCGGAGCGGGGGGGGGGGGGGCAGGGAGAGGGGGGCGAAGGGGGAGACGAGCCCGGGGAACCGGCAGGAAGCCTTTCAGGCAGCGAGCGGGAGGAGGGCAATAAGCGAAGCGGGTTTTGCTGAGGGCGTGCCGCTTCCTTCCTCCCCTGTCCCTGGGGCGCCACGGGCGATGGTGGCCGCTTCTATGCCCCCCCCACCCGCCTCCCCGCGTAGGGACCGGACGGGAGGACACAGAGCCCCGCCATTTCATGAGCCTCCCCGCTCTGAGGGCAGTAGCAGAGACGCGGCTCGCAATAGCGCTTGTTCCCCGCACCGCTGGTTTCCCTTTCCTCCCCACCCCACGTCGGACTGTTGGGAGAGGGGAAGCGGCTGTTGGGGGAGAATGGCAGAGGCCAGAGCTGGAGCCGAGGGATTCTTTCCTCGAGTCCAGCGAACCGCACGAGCGAGTCAAGCCTTCCAGCCGCTCTCCGCACTTTGCAGGAGAGTGCAAGAGGGGCAGCCCCACCCCGTCCCCGAGTGCAAGCTTTCCTGCTGCTTAGAAGGGAGGAGGGATAAAGACCGGGGCGTTGGTAGGGGGCACATGATCCCGGACCAAGACAGGAGAACCCAGCCGCCCTCTTTCTCCCCCGTGAACTACATCACGACACTACGAACAGTACGTGTGCGAGCAGTGATTAACGCCCTTCTCTTGAAAGCTTGGGTGGCTCTGAAAAGAGCCTTTGTGTTTGGTAAAAGCGAGTCCTAACCTACGACGAGTTTAGCCGCCGAAGCCGTAGAGGGTGCGTCCCTGGCGCTTGAGGGCGTAGACCACGTCCATGGCCGTGACCGTCTTGCGCTTGGCGTGCTCGGTGTAGGTGACGGCGTCGCGGATCACGTTCTCCAGGAAGACCTTGAGCACGCCGCGCGTCTCCTCGTAGATGAGCCCCGAGATGCGCTTGACGCCGCCGCGCCGCGCCAGGCGCCGGATGGCCGGCTTGGTGATGCCCTGGATGTTGTCGCGCAGCACCTTGCGGTGCCGCTTGGCGCCCCCCTTGCCGAGCCCCTTCCCGCCCTTGCCTCTGCCGGACATGGTGCCGCCGCGCTCTGCCCCAACAGCGAGTGGCGGGAACGGCCGCCCGCGCTCCCCTATATTGCCGGCGGTCCGACCTGGTTGAGGACTGCGGCGGGGCAGGGCAGGGGCGGGCTCTCCTCCGCGCCTCCGCCCCGGGGCGCCTCCGACAGGGGGCGGGCGCCGCGGGGCGGCCCCGGGAGGCGACGGCCCCGCCGCTGCTGCCTCGGCTCAGCTCGGCCCGGCCCGGCCCGGGCACGGCGGGGCCCCGTCCGCCTCTCGGCCCGGCCCGGCCTCCCGGCGCCCGCCTCGCCTTCCCCGCAGCCGCTGGGGGACCCGGGCCCCGCGGCCGCGGCCCTGCACCAAATCCCAGCCAATGGCGGCGCCGCTCCCCGCCCGCGCCCCGCCGCCATTTCGCGGCGCTCACACAAAGGGCCCGGGGCCGGGGGCAGCCGCGCCCGCGCTCTCGGGTTAAAACCTCAGCCTGTCCTAAGGAGAGTCGCCTCTTACGTTTCGTTTCGGGGGCGTGTGTGCGTTCTCGTGTGCCTGTGTGTCGGAGAGTTGTTTGCTTTTATCTGCCACATCTCTGTATGATGAAACACGGCGCTTATTTGGGACTGTGGGGCTGGTGAAGGAACAGGTTTGTGTTTGAAGTTAATGTACCCATGGAAATATGTACGTTGCTTCGAAATCTTTTAAGAACATGTCTGTCTTTGCTCACTTCCATGTTCATACTCTTTCCAAATCGATAGCTACACAATGTTGGCACATAATACTGCCAAGTGTTCCTTTTGCTTTTTTTCTTCATGTTTGTACTTTCTGAACAGAAAGCACAGTATCTTTTCTAACTGCAGTTATGCAACTGCACTGACAGGGAAGAGTACATGATTTAAATTATTTGCATCATAATCATTTTTAGAAAACTAAAGTGTTCACATGTTATTCAACTCAGAAAATGGAGAATAAATTCACCCTCCCTCTTTATCTTTTCTGTCATTTTATGTCTTTTTCAGTACAGAAATGCTCTAGAAATGTTCTAGAAATTTACTCATACTTTAAATAGCTTTATCGTCTTTAGACAATAGTGACAGTCAATAGCTAATAAAGATAGAAACCTTGCAGCTATAGATGCCAATGTATACAAAATATAACACATGTTTAATATTTCAGTCTGAACATCTAAAATAACTGTCATAACTATCGAAATCCTTTAAAATAGACTTCTTAAATGTGGTTCGAAGGTATGCTGCGTCCTTTTGAAGTTATAGGGAATGTTTATGAAATGTTACACTAAATTTTCTCTTTCAGAGCATTGTAACAAAATGTGTTGTGGAGACAAAACCAGAGATCTTAGGGCTATACTGCCCCAGACTGGTACATTGAGGTCTGGACTTCTGGACATCGTAACACTGCAGATGTTCACAAGAGAACTGCCATTACTAGACAAATGTGTCTCAGTAGTTTTCAAACCATTTTTATGCCCACTTGTTCCTTATGAGGGGAGTTCATGGGTGGGGGGAATGGGTGTTAAATCTGAGAGCCTGAACATCACAGAAACTGAGTGAAGCTTCCCTCCTTGCTTAGAAGTTCAGCACAGCAAACCCCCTGGCATCCTGGGTCCCTCTCTTCAGACAACACTACTTTGGACATAGGCTGAAAATCTTTGTGCATCTAGAATTTTGTACAGCAGAGTAAAAGGCAAAATGCAAAATCAGTAACACTCTGATAATGTGTACAGAATGTTGTATTGCTGCATCAGAATATTTCCCACTATTCTGACAAACCTTGAAAGATTAGATTTGTTATGACTTTAGCAGTCTAATCCTTTTTAATCTGCATTTAGCTATGCCAGACAAGTCTCTTTTATAGGTCTATAAATCAATTTGTCTGATACCAAGAAATCTAGGATTTGAATGGCCCTTAAAGGTTCCAAAAAGAATATATATATATACATATATAGTATTATTTTTATGTACTAAGCTATGTAGCCCTAGTTCCATCCAACCAAAAAATTAACTTAATTTCTTTAAAAGTGGTTTATAACACTAACTTACTCATGAATTAATTAAAATTGTAATTTATAATGTTGCTATGTGATACTTTAATTCTAAAAATCATAAATACTCCTGTTCTGAATATATACAGTACTGCTATAAAACATAACAATTTCTCTGTCATAATGCACATATATCATCAAATCAGGAATCTTAACATCATAAAATAATTTCAGTCTGTTTAAACAACTTTATTTTCCTCTTGGGCAGTGAAGTCAACTCAACAAGAAAGCAGCTGAATTTCTGATTCACGATGAATTTAAAGCTTAATCTTAAATCCAGGTTTCAATTTTATTACTAGGAATATCTTCGGTTTTGAAACAAATTATTCTAATATTTATTACGATTTTTTTTTACAAATTAAATCAGAGCTTTAATCTCATTTAACATTCTGAAATATGAACCATGATGTGAGGGCCCCACCTTTCAAACATTACTAACAATGAATATTATTCCAGAGCCTTTATACCTTTTCAGGTTGTATTTAATTTACGTTTGTTACAAATGCAGATTATTAATGATATTTTCAGATATACTTCTTTTTGAAGAAGAAAGGGGGAAAAAAGTAGCCTTGCAGATTTATTTTATTTTATTTTATTTTATTTTATTTTATTTATTTATTTTATTTATTTATTTATTTTATTTATTTTATTTATTTTATTTTATTTATTTATTTTATTTATTTTATTTATTTATTTTATTTTAATTTAATTTAATTTTCCTGGAGATAACCGATAACCACGCTTTCTCTATGCACAGACCGACCCCTGGGGGCGGCTGGGGGCTGTTCCCGGCCGTCCCCCCAGGCGGCGCGCTTCCAGGCAGCGGAGGACGAGCTCTGCCGTAGAACGATGCGATTGAAAGAGCTGACCGTGATTGGTTGAAGGGATTTGAATCATTAACCAATAGCAGCATGGGATTTGCCATCGACCAATTACAAAGATGTTCGTACGAGGCGAGACGTCACAGGCTCTGTTATCCAATGGAGGCGCTGATAGCTGGAGCCAGCGATTTGCATATGGCCCCTATAAATAGGAGAGAAATCGCCTCGGCCGCCACTCCGGGCTGTGCAGGGACGGGGGAACGTTCGCAATGCCTGAGCCAGCCAAGTCTGCGCCCGCCCCCAAGAAGGGCTCCAAGAAAGCCGTCACCAAGACCCAGAAAAAGGGCGACAAGAAGCGCAAGAAGAGCCGCAAGGAGAGCTACTCGATCTACGTGTACAAGGTGCTGAAGCAGGTGCACCCCGACACGGGCATCTCGTCCAAGGCCATGGGCATCATGAACTCCTTCGTCAACGACATCTTCGAGCGCATCGCCGGCGAGGCGTCGCGCCTGGCGCACTACAACAAGCGCTCGACCATCACGTCGCGGGAGATCCAGACGGCCGTGCGGCTGCTGCTGCCCGGCGAGCTGGCCAAGCACGCCGTGTCAGAGGGCACCAAGGCGGTCACCAAGTACACCAGCTCCAAGTAGAGCGCCGCGGATCCTGTTTTTAACCCAAAGGCTCTTTTAAGAGCCACCAACTTGCTCGAGTAAAAGAGCTGTATTGCTGGTTTCTGTGAGAGGTGTGCAATCAACTGTGGAAGTACTTAATTTCTTATGGCAGGTGATGTTAATCATTTCACTTCATTTTCAAGAGAGAAAAGTTGTGAATATAGGTAAGAATTAAGCTTCTACTAGAAGTACTGAATAACATTTGATAGGCTGAAGCAGTTGCATGCTATTGATTTGGGCGAGTTCTGATGCAGTTTTTGCTAGCTATTGAAACTCAGTTGTTGGGGACGGTAAGTACTTCATCTATACTGCTGTGATAATTGTTCTAATTTCTAAGGATTTGTACTTCTAAGTGTTACTGCAATTAAGTCCTAGTTGGTGCTGTAGTTTGCTTTATGTACCCTACAAATGTTCACCTATAGAATAAAAGTCCTATTTTTTACCTACTTAGGTCACAAACAATAGAGTGGGAAGCACATACTGAAAGAGGTTTTCCAGCCGTTCCTTTTCGCTCCATATGTCACAGCGTGCCCTCCTTAGTTTCCCCTCCCCTCATTACTATCTAATGGTGTTGTGCTTAGCCCATTAGACAGGGGGAGGAATTCTTCACCCTCGTTTTACCACCGACACCGCCCGATCTCGCGCTGCAGCTGGCTCGCTCTAGGATGAAGTTCTCGGGGAGAGCTGGGGGCAGGCGGGGGCGCACGGGGCGAGGAGCGCTGGGGGTGGCGCACCCCCCATTGCCCGCCCCCGGTGCGACACGGCCGGGGTTCCCCCCCAGGGGGCGGGGCCGTGGCTCCTCCGCGGAGGGGGGGGCTCGGGGCGGGGCCGGCGGGGGGGGCAGGACCAGGCGGGGCCAATCCCGCCCCAGCGCGGGACTTTCGAACTCCCCCGGGCTACCCGGGAAGGGCCGCGCCGCGCCCCGCCCGGGGGGACCCGCGGCTGCCGCGCTCCGGCTGCTCCCATCGGGGCGGGGCGGGGGGGAAGGGAGGCGGGGCCGCGGCGCTGCTATCGCGGGGCTCCCGAATTAGACGTCAGGAATCGCTTCCTCTCTGAGGGAGCCCTTATCGGCCGTGCAGGTTGGATGGAACCGATGCGCCTCAATCCGTGCCCTGGAAAGATTTGTTTCTGCCGCCGCGGCTAGCGTAGCGCTCCAGCTCTTTCTGGGAATAAGTGGGTGGCTCTTAAAAGAGCCTTTGGGTTTATTTAAATGAGTAGACTAATTTCTTCTCAGTCGTTTTACTTCTTTTTGGGCGCTGCCTTCTTAGCTTTGGCCGCCTTAGGCTTAGCTGCCTTGGGCTTGGCAGCTTTGGGCTTCACCGCCTTTGCCTTGGCCGGGCTCTTTGCTGCCTTTTTGGGGCGGCCAGCCTTGGCAGCCTTCTTGGGGCTCTTGGCTGCCTTTTTAGTGGCAGCAGCCGCGGGCTTCTTGGCTTTCTTGGGGCTTTTCTTGACTGCCGCCGCCTTCTTGGGCTTTTTGGCAGCGCTGGCGGGCTTCTTGGCCGCCGGCTTCTTGGGCTTGGCGGCTGGCTTCTTCTTAGTTGCCTTCTCTTTCGTCTCACCCGGTTTCTTATTCAGCTTGAAAGACCCGGAGGCGCCGGTGCCCTTGGTCTGCACCAGGGTGCCCTTGCCGACGAGGCTCTTGAGCCCCAGCTTGATGCGGCTGTTGTTCTTCTCCACGTCGTAGCCGCCGGCGGCCAGCGCCTTCTTGAGCGCGGCGAGGGAGAGCCCCTTGCGCTCCTTGGAGGCGGCCACGGCCTTGGTGATCAGCTCGGTGACGCTGGGGCCCGCGGGCTTGCGCGCCTTGGAGCCGCCCGCCGCCTTCTTCGGCTTCTTGGCGGCCGCTTTCGCCCCGGGAGCGGAGACAGCGGGAGCGGCAACAGGCGCAGTCTCCGACATGGTGGCAGCCGTCGTCCACGAATCAGGGGAAACCACTGGGCCTGGAGCAAGTCGGTGGCCTCGTATTTATAGAGAGGAGCCGCGCGGTGATTGGTGCGTTGCAGAGCCCGCCCCGCAGCACGGCAGAAAGGTCCCTTCTCCCCGCTCATTTTGTGTTTCTTAGGAGTCAAAAAAGCGTGTTTTTTCGAGAATTTCTGCCACCGAATCGCCCCAGCTCGCAGCGGCGTGGAAAAGAAAGCCTGTTGTTCCCCTGGGCAAAGTTTCCCTTCGAAGAGGCAAAGGGTGAGTTAAAAAAGAGCCGATAAACCCTGAGTCCTGGACCTGGACAGACCTCGGGAGACAGAAACTTTTGTTTTTCCTTCCAAATAAAATCTACGTCGTGGGCACCTAAATTTCCAAAGTAATTAATTATTATTCTTTAAAGGGTCTTCTCTTAATCTGAACAGAAACCTAGGGATTCGAATCGATATTTTCATCGCAAATTGATTTCAAAGAGGAGGAAGTAACACAGGCTCATCTTGAGCACTGAATATGGATTAGAAATTAGCTTCTTTGTCCAAAATCCTTTACCCCTTTAAAAATAATTAAAATAAATTAAATTAGTGCATCATGCAACGAGGCGAGAAGCAGATTAAAGTCTCTTAAAGGACTTTTTCTGCCCCAGAAGGAGATGACTTTTTATAGCATTGCAGCTTGTACTGTGTTGCTCTGTGTGCACAATGCAGACATGGTTCCCTATTGCTGCTTTACAGAAATATTTATTCTTAATAAAGTACGTGGCATCAAAATTTCAAACAGCCAGTTGTTATTAACAATTATAACTGATACCCTGACAATTTATAATTCGGTTTTGTTTTTATTTTGATCCAGTTTGATTGGTGAAAATCTGAGTCATAATTATCTAGGGAGACAGCGCTGCAGATGATTTTCCATTCTTCTAAACTGTAAAACTTTCTCAAGTCATTCTTTACACCTCTCCTTCCAGAACAGATTGCTAAATATTACATTTTTTACTGTACAGTGACTGATTCCTACATTGGAAGTGATATTAATAACAACATCTAATTGATGCATTTGTTGTTCTAAAGCGAGTGGCTGCTAGCAAGAGGGGGAAGTCTTCACATACACTTTATCAAGACCATAAAATAAACACGTTTTTTTCCTTATTATCAGAAGTTTCTTGTTTTAATTCCCCATGCTCTTTTCATTATTGTCCACAGCCCTTTGTTTTTCCAAAGACCACCATAAGCTGTTCTTTACCTCTTGCTGCTGTTGTAACTGTCAGTGGTGCTAAAATTTAGCATCACTTTGATTCACATAATTTCTTATGTTTTCAAATGGAAAATATTAAAATGTGTTTATTGACCCATGCCCAGTGATTTCTGTTTGTTTCAATATCTTTATTGTAATATTCAGTGCTTTGTATGAGGCAAAATCAAAGTTGGCAACAGTCCTTTTAACCTCAAAGTGCCTCCCAATGATTTTAAATTGTTCTCATTCAGATTTCAGACAGAAAATGGACACGGTAGCGCACATAGCAATGAGAAATCTGCATTAAAAATTAATAATTCTGAATGCCTATTGCTAGGGAAAAATGACAAAGTCTCTAAATCCAGAAGTGGTTTGGAGGAGGTTAGGGACAGGTTGACACTTTTTTTTTTTTTTTTGACTGACATCTGAGTTAGCTCAACCTGACGTAGGATTGAACTGAAAAAGGAGACTTGCTGGATGAAGCTTTTTTGTTGTAGTAACATTCCACTTCTTATGTTTACCACCTGTTCTAGAATAAAATGACTCCTTTGATATGGAATCATTTATTTCTTCCTTCTATATATATATGGGCAATTAATAAGTTATTTTATCAGATGGAATTTTTTACTCCGGTGTGCAGAACACATCAACGCTGTGCTGCCTTTCAACAGCAAAGACCACGCAAATATTGTTTCTTTTTTTTTTTGTTTTGTTTTGTTTTTTTTTTTGTTTTTCTGATCAGGATCTACAGCTCCTTTTACGAGGAAGTGGGTGGCTCTAAAAAGAGCCTTTGTGTTGCTTTTGAGGTGGGAACAGTCCCCGGGTTTTTACTTGCTTTTAGCCTTGTGGCTGTCGGTCTTCTTGGGCAGCAGCACGGCCTGGATGTTGGGCAGCACCCCGCCCTGCGCGATGGTGACCTTGCCCAGCAGCTTGTTGAGCTCCTCGTCGTTGCGGATGGCCAGCTGCAGGTGGCGGGGGATGATGCGCGTCTTCTTGTTGTCGCGGGCCGCGTTGCCCGCCAGCTCCAGGATCTCGGCCGTCAGGTACTCCAGCACGGCCGCCAGGTACACCGGGGCGCCGGCGCCCACCCGCTCCGCGTAGTTGCCCTTGCGCAGCAGCCGGTGCACGCGGCCCACGGGGAACTGCAGCCCGGCCCGCGACGAGCGCGACTTGGCCTTGGCCCGCGCCTTCCCGCCCTGCTTCCCGCGGCCTGACATGGTTCCGACACTGGCCCTGCGCCACCCAAGCTGACGTGCAACACGCGTCGCTACGCCCCCCGCCCGGCCCCTTTTATAGCCTCCCCGCGCGGCCCGGCTCGCCTTCCGATTGGCTGCACCGCGCTCTCGCTCGCTCCGACCAATGGCGCTGCGGATCCAAATCCACCCAATGGGGAGCGGGCCCCGGCCCATCCCGCGCGCTGCCCCCGCCCGCCAGCGGCGCTTCCGCGGGGGCGCTCCTGAGGCGGGTCCCGCTCGCGCCTCGCCCCCGCTGGCGGCGGGCCCCGGGCCCCGGCCGTGCCCCAGCCCGGGCATCCCATGATGGGGAGACCGGCGGCGTGCAGCTGCCTCCCAGGAGCAAGGGGAACCTGTGCTAAGGCCGCGGTCGCTTAGAAATGCCCCTGTGTTTGCAAATGCTGCTACAGCATCATCGTCGTTGTTCCTTTCTTTGTTAAGTTTCAATTTACAAACCACATTTGCAACCCCACATGCATTCCCCTCATTTCCATGTGTGGAAATGAGACAGGAGCATGAAACAAAGGAAAATTCTCTGAGCACTCACCTATAAATCTAATCAAATGGCCATATGGGTGTAAGCCTGTTCCACAGAGCATTAGAGGTCAGTCTGCAATGCTTTACTCAGACTGGAAAACAACTGCACACATAAACAACTTCATCAACATTCAAGATGTCTGTATTGTGTTATAGACATGTATAGACATTTTTCCTCTTTCATTGTTCCAGTTACTTATGTTTTCTATTTCTAGCTATCTTTTTCTCTTTCTTCTATATATTTCTAGCAAGCGCACGCACTGTCGTTGTCTAAACCAACAAAGAAGCCTGCACACTGGAATTAGCCACATCCTTCTGCTATCCCATAGTGCTTGGCAGGCTCCTCCTCCATTTTCCCCACAGCCCGAGTTCTGCTCTCTCCTTTAAATAAATTCCAGTTCTGCCTGGTTGTTGTTCCCACCTTCATTCCTTGATGCTGTCATGCTCTGACCCATCACTCTTCTTTGTAATTCATATCATAGAATCTGAGATGCATATCACAAAATTATGATGAAGTGAACAGTGTGGATACCAGACTACTCTGCTCACCCTGGATACTATCACTGTGGTATTACAGGGAAAATCAGAGACTTCACACCCACCAGGCCATCCACGATACACCTTAAACAAAAAAAACACCTGTGTAATTCAATGGATGTGAATGCTTCGACAAAGCAAATTTTATTGATCTGTCATTACCAGAAGCTAAAGACAACACACATAGATAAAGGGAAAAAATAATCACAGAATCACACAGAATCACAGAATTTCTAGGTTGGAAAAGACCTCAAGATCATCAAGTCCAACCTCTGATAATCTAGATGCTGTGAGTATTGCCAGTTTAGAAATGAAACTATTTCACAACCATTTCTGAGTGCTTTCACTGCAACCGGAGGAGAAAAGGTTGGCAGCAATCCTCAGTGCTGGATCTGACCTTCCTGCCATAAGCCTATCACTTGAGTGATTGAAGTATGAGACAGTTACAGGAGCAAATGGATTGAAGCACGAGCACCCCCGGAACCCACTGCTTTGATAAAAGCAACAAAGAATTTGTCTGTTTGTGCTCTTTCCACTTAGAACTGTGCTAAAGGCAAGGGGAAAAAAAATCCCCCATGTTAATTTAGCTGAAGACGAGACAGAGATCAGGTCCTTCAGATGAAGTATGAACCAGTTTCTACATGCACAGTCCCAGCCATGTGTGTTTGCAGCTTATCCAAAACCACAGAACACTGCGAGAAGCCTTGTGAACAAGCACTGCACAAGAGGAGGTAGGCACCACCTTGGACTCTTCCCAGAAAATAAAAATTGTTTCCTGGAGAATTTGTATAGTCAAATCCAGCTCTTCTGCCTGGACTCAGAGCCCATCCAGGGGCACCCTCCCCCTATCTCACCCCTACCTGTATTTTTTTCCCTCTCCATGGCATCTGAGAGATCTAGCAGTTGTAGGAACCTACCTCCCTCCTCGCTCTGCCCAGGTTGAAGGTAGGGGAAAAGAAGCTTTGTTTCTGACATTATGCACACTCCTTGTGCATGAAATTTCTCTTTTGAGCCCGCTTATACATTTGGTGAATCCTTTTTCCATGTCTGAAGAGGATAGTTACGGCTCAGACAGATGTTCGCTGTTCCAACAGAAGAAAAAAGTTGGTTCATCTATGTGAGAATAAGGCAAATAGAACCCCTAAACAAAAAGGTTAAAAATAAAATAATAAATCAGATTTAAGTGAAGGAATTGAATGAATCAAATGACTCCAGCAGGCAAGTGATGTAATCACAGGCCTGCTAGGGAGCTTTTCTGGATCTTGAATGACAGGGACAGAGGTCCTTACCCCAGAACAAATTCCTCTTCTCAGGCTCTTTCCTGGGCTGGATGTCTGACCATATTACCAAGACCAAGGTCAGAAGTACCACAATGATAACCCAACCCCTCCCTTCCCCAAATCATCATTCACATATTTCACTCTAAAGAATATAAACAAAAACACAAATATTTAAAATAAACTAAACAGATTATATCCCATAAGTCTTTTCCACTAATATTTAAGATGCTGTTGACACAATTGTAATTAACTTCTGAACCAGGAAGCAATCTGTTGTAAAAAAGATTGTTTGTATCCAGAAATCATGAAAATAAAAGTGTGAGTTTGGGTCATTAATCATTTTGTCTCCTTAAAATGGATTTAACCTCAAAACACTGAATGTCTGAGACTTATAATCAACAAAAGGTATTGTTTGAGCTATCTGGTAGTCTGGCAGCCTATGATTATTATTAACTGTATTGAAATCTAAGAAGAATCACCAGTGTCTGGATATATTCACCTAGAAATTCATTTATTCTTAGAGAACTCATTCGTAAGGCACTAAAGACACCCACTACAAGACCTTCAACAAGAACAACAAAGTTCTACCAATCTCTCTTATGGGATATGCTACTTTTAACAGTAACTCTTTGTAGTTGTTGTTTTAAAAGCAGGATAAAGACACCTACATAGTTAATCACTAATCTTGTACTCAAATTCAGTGTTCCAGACAAAATTCATTTGGGAAAGACTTATTGCCCACACAAACTTATTCCACCGGTCTTTTTTTTTTTTTTTTTTACAATGTCTTGTAGGCATTTTTGTCTATAAGATCCCACAATATTTTATTCTCATTTGAAATAGACTGCAAATATTTGCTTCTTACATGTGGTAAGAGTTATTAGAATATTGTCTGTCAGCATAAGTAATGAAACAAGAGAAACATTTCAATCAAAATCAGAAAAAAATAAGATGGAAAATGAAAATGCCCTTTTAAAAAAAAAAAAAAAAGGACCCGCAGCTATATAAACAGCTTCATGAACTTGGAACCAGAGATTTTACAAAAGTTAAATTATCTGTCAAGCTCTTAGACCTGTTTACTAATTTTTGTATTCTGTACTGATTTTTATTTAAAGTATTCTGTCCAGGACACATGCAGTGGGTATCTGACATTTGATATCAGGTTAGCCTTTCAAATACATAAAATAAACTTTTATAATTACTAGCATTAGACTTACCTTTTTTTTTAAAAAAAAAAAAAAAGTGAGTCCTGATATATTCAAAAACTTCTAAACCATTTCTTATGGCCTTTGTTGGTAGATGGTAGAAGCCTAATTGTATATATTATTTATGATGTAGCTATTGCTCTTCTTTCCTGAGGTTCAGAATGCCTGTATTGTACCCCAAGGCCAGTGAAGAACCTCCTCCCCTTCCATCTGTATGCTATATTTATACATATCACAAGAAAGCCAGTATTTTGATACACTGAACATTTATTGTCTTTCACAAGACAAAATGAAGTTTCCCCTGCCGATGAAAGCCATCAAGAGGACTGTAGAGGGGACAGGGTGCACAATTCCAGTGTACAGTATACGCAAATTACCTCCCTGACTACCCCGGAAGATGATTGATCGATCTCACTGCAACTAAAAAAAACAGGATTATAAAATATTTACAGAAAAGAACAGTACAGAAAATAAAAATTGGACAACCATGTGTGTATGAAATGCTGCTAACACTTTTCTGGCTCCTTAAAAATTGATTCCACTACCCTCACCAGCGCATTCAGGACGTGAAAGGACTCAGGCAGAGCAGAGGTGCCTCCCACTCCCACACCCCCCTCCCCAGAGTACCACTCCCTCCCTCTAAGGAAGGGGGAGGGCTCGAGGGAAGCAGCATCGCCTTACTGACTGTGATTTCCTTCCACCAAGTAGACATGCTAGCTCTGAGAGGAGGTGCTTAGCCACACCTCATCTGCAGCGGTCTCTATTCAGAGCACACTGGGCAAGTTGACCTGTGGGTAGGGAACTGTTCCCTGTCATGTGAGCCCTTTCGTTGCTTGCAGAAGGACCTTTCCTTCTTCCTCCGTGGTGGTCACATCTGTGTTCAGAGGGCAGGAAAGCTGACTGGGACAGGTCACAGGAGACCTTCCATTTCCTTCATGAAAGCTTCATACACATCATCCTTTGTCTGTACAGAGATAGGGGCAGACGATCCAGCCTTAGGGGCAGCTTTGGTTAATGGCAGAGCAGGCTCATCATCCTGTTTTCTCTGGGAGGCAGCCAGAGCCCCTTTATTCTCCCGGCGCACTCGCAAAGCAGTGGGCACGAAGCGAGTGATTTCTGCCTTGGGGTTAGTGATCTGTGGCTTTGCACTGATAGTAGCCGTAGCCTTCTTCTCAATGGTGGCTGCACTGGTGTCATCCGCCTTGGGGCGCTGAATCAAGCTGGGTGGGGCACTCAGCACCCCGGGATTTGGGATGGGAGCTGGGGGGAAGAGCCCAGGTGGAGCAGGTCCTAATGGAGGCACCAGAGGTGGCCGTAACATGCCTGGGCGAGGAGGAGGAATACCTGTAAGACAAAGAGAAAGCGTAAGATGGCTCCACACCTGGGAATTCTAAAACCTCTATGCAAATATAATGCAAAGGCACTGAAAGCCAAGGAATGTCAACCAAACAGAGTAGCTCTCTCTTC